TACACACAAGTATGCCATAATGCTAGAAGTAAGGAAATGTATTATTGTAAGATGAATAAACATAGTAAAGTAAAGTATAGTAATAAGTTGTGGTAGTGGATAAGTATTAGATATAAGAGAGTAAGGCACAAGTAAAGAGAATATTGTAACTAGAAATAAGTACGTAAATAGTCTCGTGTAGTGCTATTTTCAAAAGTAGTAAATATTAATTGTAAAACTAGTAGTAATAGTAATAGAAATAGTAGAACTTTGTAGAAATTAGTAAAATTGAAAATTTGTTACCACTTTTAAAAAACATAAAAGAACAACGTACGCAGAGTATGAAAAGAGCATGACATAAAAGGTCCCTGATCCTACATGTCAGGGGGAAAACGAATAAATGAAAAAAAAAAAAAAAAAAAAAAAAAAAAACTAACCTAACCTAACCGAGACACAACAACTGGAAAAGTAGTAAAGACGACGACATCAATGTCTCCCAATACCCGGATCTCACCACAGAAAACGTAGCTGTGGCAAAGTTGACAACCGGGGGGGGCCTGGGAGATAGGGGTGGTGTCCGTATACCTAGAGGGAGAGAACCGCTCCTGAACCAGATGACAACGGCAGTGGAAGGGTTACGCGTGGGCGATGTGGTACTCGGCGGAGATATGAACGCTTGGAACACTTGGTGGGGCAGTCGGGAGTCGAACCGCAGGGGGATCGAGTTAGCTGCCGCACTCGACGTGATGGAGCTACACATCTTGAACAGGGGTTCGAGCCAACTTTCGATACCTACAGAGGAGGTGTTCGCTACTCAAGTAGCGTTGACGTCACTACCTGCTCAACTAGTCTGCTGGGGAAGGTGGCAAGCTGGAGGTCTGCAAAAACACCCTGCCGGAGATGGGTTCGAAGAGGCGAGTGGGATTGCCCTGGTGGTCCGACAAATTAAGCGAACTAAAAAAGGAGGTGGGAAGAAGGAGACGCCGCATAGCATATGCCGCCCCAACAAGACGCGAGTGGGTACTAAAACAATACCAAGACGCGAAAGCAGAATACCTCCAGGAGATGAAGAACGCCCAGACTTCCAGGTGGAAGGATTTCTGCAGTAAACAAAAAAGGGAGACCATGTGGGAAGGGATCTATCGAGTGATAGGCAGGACTGAGGCAAGAGCAGAGGAAATCCCATTAGTCTGCGACGGCAAGAACGTGGGAAACATGGAGTCAGCCAGGATCCTTGCGGAAGCCTTTTTTCCGGAAGATCGGAAGGAAGAGGACGATGCGGACCAAAGTAAAGTAAGAGCAAGAGCAAACATGGTCAACCAGGGGTTGCATGGTGAACCATGCGATCCCCCGTTCACCAAGGACGAACTCCTATGGGCCGCATCAAGCTTTAATCCAAAAAAGGCACCTGGAGCTGACGGACTAACAGCAGACATATGCAGAGCAGCCATCACTCTAAACACAGATATCTTCCTGGCTCTCGCAAACAAGTGCCTTCAGCTGGCTTGCTTCCCTAAACGGTGGAAGGAAGCAGTAGTGGTGGCACTTCGTAAGCCCGGGAAGACAACTATGCGCACCCCAAAGCATATCGACCAATAGGTATACTGCCGGTTCTGGGAAAAATCCTTGAAAAAATGACGATTAGAAGGATTAGATGGCACACTACACCGGCCATCAGCAAAAACCAATACGGTTTCTTGCCACAGCGTAGTACCGAGGACTCCCTCTATGATATGATGCAGCGTATAAGAGACCAATTGAAAAATCGGAAAATTATACTGCTAGTATCGTTAGACATAGAGGGAGCGTTCGACAACGCCTGGTGGCCGGCCATCCGCTGTAGGCTGGCAGAGGCCGGATGCCCGGTAAACCTGAGGCGACTAATTGATAACTATTTTGAGGATAGATCAGTACGCGTTAGGTATGCTGGAGCCGAGTACCGGAAGCACACGACCAAGGGGTGCGTACAGGGGTCAATTGGTGGACCGACACTGTGGAACCTTCTGCTGGATCCCTTACTGCAGGACATACTAAGGATGGGTGAACATTGCCAAGCGTTCGCGGACGACATCGTCCTGATCTTCTCTGGAGACATAGCCCAAAACATACAAGGAAGATGCCGTCCTCGCACGGGCGTGGAAGTGGGGAATCGAAAACAAACTCAAATTTGCGCCAAACAAAACTAAGGCTATGATCATCACAAACAAATTGAAGTACGACACCCCGGTTCTACGCATGGGCGGGGAGGCACTGGACTATACAAGGAAATTAAGATTTTAGGCCTCACCCTGGACGACAAATTAACGTTTAACCCGCATATCGACGCAACCTGTAAAAAGGTCCAGAACTTATACCATCAGTTGTCCAGGGCGGCAAAAATTCACTGGGGCTTAAACTCCGAGGTGATCCGGACCATTTACACTGCAGTGGTGGAGCCAATCATTTTATAT